ATTCCAGGTTCCCCAGTCTTGAATCTCTTGAGCCACATGTCAAAAGAATTCCAAGAAGCAGGTCACGTCCACTAACGTCCATAGGTTTGTTCTGAGTAGGACTAGCATTGGGGACCATTGAGTGGACTCAGACATATAATTCTCCCTTCCCTCTCTCTGTTGCAAATTGAAATTGAAAAACTCCTCAGGACTGAGACCTGTCTTCTTATATTTGATAAGGTGTTGTGCATAATGGCTGGGTGTGTGGTGAATAGACAGGTTTGCCTCCAATGTAGCACTAAGCTAAAGTCACTTAGTGGTTCCCCCCCCCTTTGGTGAAATGTTGTACAAGAGAATCCATAAGCAGGTGGCTAGTAACTTAGTTGCACAAGAGATTTGCAATCTGTTGTGTACAGTGGTACCTCGGGTTACATACTCTTCAGGTTAAATACGCTTCAGGTTACAGACTCCGCTAACCCAGAGACAGTGCCTCAGGTTAAGAACTTTGCTTCAGGATGAGAACAGAAACCGTGCTCCAGCGGCGCAGCAGCAGCAGGAGGCCCCATTAGCTAAAGTGGTGCTTCAGGTTAAGAACAGTTTCAGGTTAAGAACGGACCTCCAGAATGAATTAAGTACTTAACCCAAGGTACCACTGTAATGAGTTTCTACTAGTGCAGCTATTGCATAGGATTCCTCTGTTGTGCAACGTTAACGTTCTCACACCCACTAGCACAAGAGTGGACAGGGAATGCTGTAAACAATCCGTAATTACTGTAGCTACTAAAGTTAACTTGTATGTCTATGGGTGTGCCTGTATGTTTGCAAGCACTGTTATCATTCTACTTCCATAAAGTTATTCATTTGCTGTTTGGAAGTGCATTTCTAAAGCACAGTAGGGTCCTGATCTCTCTCCCTGCACCAGAGAACATGGAACATGTTGTGAGCAACTTTGTTACACAATGGATCGTGCAAACCTGTTTCACAACGAGTTCCGCCAGCACAACTGTTGCATTGGGCTTCCTCTTTGTGTGACATTAAAACACACATGTCCACTAGCACAAGAGAGCTTTGGATGCAGCCCAATGCATACAATAATGAACAAAGGAGGGCTTCCACCTTGGACAGTACCTAACATTTGCACTCAAATTGTGTGTGAGTGTTGGGCAGGGGCAGAGGGAGTGGGGTTCAGGAACTATGCCAAATCTTGTTTTAAATGCACTCTCTGTATTGCAAAAACCCACATTCCCCAGGCCTATTTGCATTCCTGGATGAGTTTCAAAGTAGTTTCTGGTCCTTCAGCTGTTCATAATAATAATAACAACAACATGTATATAGAGTGTTAGAGTATTCGAAGTGCTTTGCATTCATTAGAACAGTAATCTTCAGAACAGTCCTGTCATATCAGTAGGTCAGTATTACTTTTCCTGCTTGTTACAGATGTGTAGAGGGGGCAGAAAAGCTGATAGATGGTATTCTCCCAAGGCCATCATTGGCAGAGGGATTCCCCAGGTCACATCTAACATAGGAAGCTGCCTTCAACTGAGTCAAAGCATTGGCTCCATCTTGCTCAGCATTGCCTACACTGACAGGCGGAGGCTCTCTGGGGTTTCAGGCAAGGGTCTTTCACAGCCCTACAGGAGTTGAACCTGGGAGCTCCTGCATGCAAATCTGATGCTGTACCATTGAGCCACAGGCCTTTCCTGCATTGCATGAAGTTAATTTGCCAAGGCTGAGCTAAACATTCAGTCTCAATTTTGGAACTAGGGCTGGTGCAGGAGCTGCCAGAAACTTTGAACCCATCCACTGCCTCAAACTGCCCTTCTTCACTGCCAGTTGTTTTGCAGTGTGTTCCTTGCAGCTGCTGCCATTGTTGGTTTTCGTCCTACAATTCCTTTCTGAATGATGCTGAAAGGTGTTCTGAATGATGCATAGTTCAAAGCAGAATTGATGGGAAAAGAGAAGTGGTGGAGACCAACCAGCAGAAAGAACACCACCATTGATAAGTTCACTTCTAGGCCCATTTTTATTTTCATTGCTGTCCATAAGGGCCATTCATCACTTTTAAAATTATATCAAACAATACCAAAACTTGTGCCACAGCTGCACCCAAATTTCACAGACAGGAAAATGGGAGGCCATCCCACTATGTATTCTCCCAGGTTGGACTGGTGAGGCTTGAAAAATAGAACACCTTTAGGAATTTTATCAGAAAAACTCATTTCTGAGAAATTTCAGCCTACCAATTATCTAAAGAAAATTGATGATGTGTGAACTAGGAAATCAGATTAGATTAGAGGAATCCAGGCAGACGTTGGGGGCAACAGTGATTCTAGACAGATATATGGGTGGATAGGAATCAGATGACAGAGATGAAGAATGAAACCTTTCCAGAGCACATCAACATAAAATTCAGCACATTTCATATTCTGGGGGAACAAGCGGAGGGGGGGGGAGAGAGAAAGAACAAGCCAGTCCTATCCCATCATCTGTAGCCTATCCCTTTCCAGATTATGATTAAGAACTTAATTGCACTTTCACAGTTTAATCGTACCAGTCAGCTGCTATTTAATCACTGCACAATAACGGCCTTGTTAATGACATTAGGGCCCATTATGACTGTAATCAGCCTATAAGCCTTGCATCCCCTACATCTGCTTGCGCCCAAGTCTGCCAGCACTTGGGAAAGTTGTTCATGCCAGGAGAAAGGAGGAGGGAGGGAGGACATGCAAGGAGGGGAAAGGGGGGCATTGATCTGGCTGGAAAGTGGAGTGAGGTTGCTAGATCAGGATGGAAAGGGAGGAGGAGGAAGAGAATAGGGAACAGAGTGTCATGCAGTGAGAATCTCCTGTTAAAAGCTAGCTTGCAACAAGGGCCTAAGAGGTGCTGTAAAAATCATAAGGAGTAAAGAAGTGGGTGCCCACTACCTAAAATCAACTAATTGAAATTGCTTCAGCATATCAACAGCAGAAGGAAGAGAGAACATTGTTTCCCAAGGCAGCTAAGGGATCAAGGTTTTTCTTTTCTTTTCTTACATTATGGAGTACTGCCACCTCTCTTGTTTGCTGCTCATGGCAGCCATTTTGTGTGGGCACCTGCAACCTTGGGGGGGATTTCTTTCAGAGAGGAAAAATAGTACATTATTTTCAGGGTGGGGAGCTATTCATTATAGCAGGGATAGAGACCATCAGGTCCCAGGAGCTAAAGTCAACCATCAAGCCCTATCTGTCTGGCCCTCAGAACTCTCCTCAGAACACACCCCTCATTGGCCCTACTTCACACACTCCTTAGGAGTCTCGGCCTGGCTGGAATTTGTCCTTGGACGCCATTCACTGGCTGGTTGAGAGGGGTGTGTGAGTGTATGTAGAAACTAGCCTACTGTGCAAAGGGGAAATTCACACTCGTTGCTCCGCCCACTTTTGCCTTTGAACCTGCCCACCAATGGCATGTGCCACCCACCCAAAAAGGTTGCACAGAAAGGAATGCAGCCCTTGATCTGAAAAAGGCTCCCCAACCTTGCATTACAACAACAATGGTTTCCCCCTCCTTTTTTTCGTTTTGATTAAAACCCTTGTTTACTCCTGCCATAAACAACAGCGGTAGAGTCACTACCAGTGGTCACCCATTCCAATGCCATGACCAACCCTCAATGCTGGGGCACACGTGTGTGTGTATTTGTGTGTGTAGGGAGTGGCAGCATCCATTGGGGTTCCATCCTACTGATAGCAAATCTACCACTTTCATTCCTTTGTCTGGGGGGGGGAAACAAGTCTATCCCACCCATCATTGTTGTCAAGGCAACATTATACGAGAAGTAAAACAAGCTTTCAAAAAGCATCGGGTGGGGGGGGAGAAGTTGCTCCTGATACTAAAAACACATAGAATTTTCACACCCACACAACTGAAAGTTGCAAGGGGTTTTGAAGGAGGAGGGCTGTTCTCAACCCCAACATGTAGGTCAAATGTTCCTATTGGGGAAAATGTCACTCAGCCTTCATGCTTAAAGGTAAAGGTAAAGGGACCCCTGACCATTAGATCCAGTCGTGACCGACTCTGGGGTTGCGGCACTCATCTCGCTTTATTGGCCGAGGGAGCTGGCGTTCAGCTTCCAGATCATGTGGCCAGCATGACTAAGCCACTTTCTGGCGAACCAGAGCAGCGCACGGAAACACCATTTACCATTCCACCACCTATTTATCTACTTGCACTTCCACGTGCTTTTGAACTGCTAGGTTGGCAGGAGCTGGGACAGAGCAACAGGAACTCACCCCGTCGTGGGGATTCGAACCGCCGACCTTCTGATCGGTTAGTCCTAGGCTCTGTGGTTTAAACCACAGCGCCTCCCGCATCATGCTTACGGAATTAAAATTGGAAACATGGACAAAGCCCTCATGAAAATTCACCTGCATTTTAGTGCACATTTCTCCTAATATTATGCCTAACATACACATCTTTGCAAAGCACTTCCCCTAATATAATGCATTTTTGTATGCTATTTACACTAATATATACATCCCACCCACCCCCTGCACATTTTACCCCAGCATACGCATTCTTGCAAGCAGCAAGGGAACTGCTCTGCAAAATTTGGAGAAGTGTGAATTTTAAATAATGGCTGGGTTTGGGTTTGAGTATTATGTATTACATACATTCAACATTAAATGAGAACTGAATTGAATTTCTCCCCCATCCTATCTGTATGCATATATTTAAAACTGATAACTATTTTTAAAAAACAAAACACTAACTTGTGTGGGTAGCAGGTAAGTGACTGTAGTTGCATCCATTGCAAATGGTTGCCCACAAAGAGAAAGAAACCTTCAGACTGAAAAATGTTCTCCCCACCACTGCCCTAGAAAAAACAACCATGATGTTTTTGTTCTCCATCATTTTGTAGCCCCTGTGATCTGCATTTACAGGGTGAGGTAGAATTGGTAGTGCAAAGTTAATGGGGTAATAATGACTAGCAGGAGAGGAAGGAAAGCCCAAGCAACATTCTGGAAGAGGAGGTGGAGTACACTTACTTGTAATAACAGATATCATAGCCCACCCGAATCCAGTGAGGTCTGCCCTGGAGAGCTTCCTTCACTGAATACATGACCGGTTGCATGCCTACACAAAACAAAGGCAGTTTTTAAAAAAGTGATATGATGTCCTCTGCAACTGCAAAACAGCTGTTTTACCCAGGACATTTCTTAGGTGAAGACAGACACTTTTCAGGTGAAGACAGACATAATATGTTCAGTGCAGTGAAGTTGCTCTGAAAGCAGTTCTGCACATACTTTTCTCTCCAGAATTGAGCACTGAAGGGCAGGGGAACTCATTGGTTCTGAAAGTTTGAGGCAGAAGCTGGCGGTGCATGGCAGTAATCGGTTGCTTGCTGTGCGCAGTATAACGTCACCAAGAAACCTTCCCTGACCCAAAACAATGGTGCGATTTGCACATCCCTGTCCTGTTCTTCATTAATAAGAGGGGTGTCCCCATGTTGCATTTGAGTGTACAGGCTTTGTGCCCAAACAGTTGACTTGCACAAATGAACATGTTGCACTATTTCACACCAACACCTGATAATGTTTAAAGACAGCTTGTGACAGATCAATGGGGATATGCAAAAGTTCATGCAGTGGGTTTAAAAAAATGTGGCTCTTTTAAAGCAGACTTTCCAACTGAAACTTTGAGCAAGGGGCAAAATGGATGGCAGCAGTGGACTAGATGACCGTTATGATCCCTTCCAACTCTACAATTCTAAGATCTGATACTGTCATTTCAACCATGAAGGCAGGAGGAAGTTGGAATTGTCTCATGGATGAGGGGCATGTGTTGTGAATTCCCATTATATATTTAGTCTGTCTTCACCATACTCCCCACCTCACCCTGCACTCATCCCACAACAAAAAGGTAAAGGACCCCTGACGGTTAAGTCCAGTCGCAGACGACTCTGGGGTTGCGGTGCTCATCTTGCTTTACAGGCCGAGGGAGCCGGCGTTTGTCCACAGACAGTCATGTGGCCAGCATGACTAAGCCACTTCTGGCACAATGGAACACCAAAACCAGAACAGCGCATGGAAACGCCATTTACCTTCCTGCCGGAGTGGTACCTATTTATCTACTTGCGCTTTTTGGCATGCTTTTGAACTGCTAGGTTGGCATGAGCTGGGACCGAGCAATGGGAGCTCACCCCGTTGCAGGGATTCGAACTGCCAACCTTCTGATCAGCAAGCCCAAAAGGCTCAGTGGTTTAGCCACTACTAATTCTCTGCTTAGTTTTCATTAAGGCAAATACATGTCAAGAAGTCCTTAACTTCTTTGCTTTTAAGAGAATGCCTTTTAATCAAGATCATCGAGTGACAGATCTGGAGAACATAGCAAACATTTCTCCAGGGCACTAGATGGAACATATCCAAACTACAGACACAAATCTCATTTAACAGTCACTCTTTGGCAAATGGGAGAGATGGGGGTGGGCAAGGCTGAGATCTCTAGGAGAGAATTCTCCGTGCTCCCACCATTACAATTCCTGGAATTCTTTGGAGGAGACCATGGGAATTAAACATTTTTTAAATGGGGGGGGGCGTGCCTTGTCATTGAGCAACATGGAGGCCTAACTCTGCATCTCTGCCTGGAATCAAAACTAGTCAAACGGCATAGAAAAACATTTTTGAAGAAATAATATTATAAATTTGAGGGGTATAACATCAAGACCATTGTGGAAAGCAGGAAAATTGGCGGAAACGCAGGACGTGTCTGAAAGTCAACCAAATGAATCAGCCCTGTCAGATTCCGACAGTGATCTTAACATGGCACTTAATGACAGTAAGGCCTGCAAGGGAGGGAAATAGTGAAACAAAAACATAGCCAGAATCAGATGATTGTACATGCAGGTCTCACTCTCCAAATGCAATGTGTTCTCAGGAAATTGTTTATTAGGAAAACATTCACATAATGAGTTGACAATTTCTATTTATTCCTATGGGGAAATTTCTGGTATGTTGGGTATGTATTTTTCGGTTTTTATATTGTAAACCAGCCTATGATCCTTGGATGAAGGACAATACAGGAAAAATATATTATAATAATAATACTGTAATAATAACAGCAGCAGCAGCAACAACAACAACAACCACAACAATTCCTATTCTTTTTCCAAGGACTTCTCACAGGACTATCAATGAAACAATTAAAAAAATGGCAAGAACTTTTGGAATTCTTTAGTAGTAGACGCAATTGGAACAGAATTAGCAATAAAGTGATTTCTCAGCATAAACTGAGAAGAGAACTGAGCTTCCCTCCTTTTTTTGTCATTTGAAACAACTTAGTGCTTTTTTCTGGGGATATTCAAGGGTACGCAGTACCTGAACTGTTTTTTCTAGAAGAAGAGTACTGGTTAAAAGTGTGGGACTTACTATAACAACTTCATGGTGAGTACCAGCACCCTTTTGTCTAGAAGAAAAGCACTGACAACTTTTATGCATAATCTGTGTGGATTTCTCAATCCCTTGGAAAGGTACCGAACTGTCTATGGATTCGTCTTGGCTGATGGCATTTCAAAGTTCAAGAGCAGGCATAGGCAAACTTGGCCCTCCAGATGTGTGGGGACTACAACTCCCATCATCCCTGGCCACTGGTCCTGTTAGCTAGGGATGATGGGAGTTGTAGTCCCAAAACCTCTGGAGGGCCGAGTTGGCCTATGCCCGTTCAAGAGTTTTGACTCTTGTTAACCCATTTTTTAAGGCTACGATTCAGGTTTGCAGGTGCTGGGCTAAAAACTTAACACCATATAACTCCCCCTTAATGCTCATTTTGGAACATGCAGACTTTAGGTGTGTGGATAAATATTGCCAATTGCATCCTGGGAATCCAAAGGAGTTTACAGAGTATGTGACCTTTTAAAGAATGGTAAGCCCCTTTCAGAGACAGAACTGCTCCAAATATTAGATGACATTCACCCAGCCTGGTTTCTAGTATTGCAAGTAAGATCATTTGCATGCCACCAACTAAGAATTAGGAAATACGGTTGTCCTTTGACTTGGTTTGAAAATTTAATTTTACAGAGTAGATCACGTTCCAAAGCAATGATATATTATATTTACAAAGCTCTTTTTACTGAATGGACAGGTAGCCTTTTTTAGTCCTAAAAGTGTGTGGGAAACAGATCTAGGGAAAGAATTAACAGATGAAGCTTAGAATGATATAAGGGGCAAAACACCACTCAAATCTATGTCAGCTAAAATACAGGCCCCATTTAAGGTTGTCCATAGGTGACACTGGATCCCTGTAAAACTTAACAGAGTCAACCCAAGCATCTCACAGGATTGTTGGTGAGGCTGTAGGAGGAATGGAGATTTATTCCATCTTTGGCAGGAATGTCATTTTGTGATGTTTTGCAGGAAAAAAATCAATTACATATCTTTCCTTCTGATCCAGCATGAGAATCATTTATGAATGAGTCAAACTTCTGATGGCTTTCAAATAATTCACTGATAATTAGTAGCCTTGCTGTTTACTGCAGCAAGAATGGAAAGATCATGTCATTGGAAGATGACTGGAGTCCACTATGCAAGAGAGAATATGGGGCATAGTGTTATCGGAGCAATTGGTCTATCACAATTGAGTGGTTACAGGTATTGCCCAAAAAGATTAATTTGACATAATACAGAGGCTCTTTATCTGATATGTCAACAAAGATGGACACTTGATGCAACCTCCATCAAGCCAGATATGAATGTGGTGGAGTTATATTCAAAGGACTGAAACAGCTTAAGGATATTGGTGTACTTTGTGATAATTTCCCCATTGTACCTTTTGCTGTTACAAGTACTGTGTCCTTGTACTTTGTCACTTGCGAAAAAATTCAATAGAAATGCATATATTTTTTAAAAATAAACCAATATAGTTCTATAATGTAGATAAGCTCTATAAAACAATGGGCACTGCAATTCCAGAATGCCCCTTATCACTTAAGTTTCCAAGAACATTTTTTTTAAAATCTCAGGCAGATTTTTTTTTAGGAATTTCAAACTGATATACTGTATAGTCCAGCTCTACTGACAAAATATTACAAGTGAGAGTTCTTTTGATGATTAAGAAAAGAGGGAGAGGTGAAGCAGTCAAGCATACAGATCTGTACACCAGAAACATGAAAGCTACTCTTATTTCCTTGCAGACCCAGTCCTTCTGAACCCAGGAGGATGGACTAGGAGTGAATAACCTTTTCACCATTAAGCTTTACTGTGTATTTTGCCTTCACAGCCGCCTCCAACTTCCGCTCATCTTGTCTACCCTTTTTGAAAACATAGACTGCAAGCAGTGGCGGAGCTTCATGCTCCGGCACCGGGGGGGCAAAGAGCAGGCGTGGGCACGGTTGGCGCTTGTCCCGGGGGCGTGGCACACTGCCCGCAGGAAGCCCCTTTAAGGGCCAGGAGGCAAGATATAAATAATTTTATAAATAAATAACAATAACACATTTTTCAAAAAGAGCCTTCAAAACACACAGAAATGTGGCAGATTTGGTGTCAAATTAGTTCCATGCAGGATTGGTGGTGGGCATCGTATAAATATCACTGGTGACGTTAAGAGGCTGATTGCAGCAGATGCTGTTGACCGAAAGGACTGACCCACACACATAAACACACACACATACAGTGGTACCTCGGGTTACATACGCTTCAGGTTACAGACTCCGCTAACCCAGAAATAGTATCTTGGGTTAAGAACTTTGCTTCAGGATGAGAACAGAAATCGTGCTCCGGCAGCGCGGCAGCAGCAGGAGGCCCCATTAGCTAAAGTGGTGCTTCAGGTTAAGAACAGTTTCAGGTTAAAAACGGACCTCCGGAATGAATTAAGTACTTAACCCGAGGTACCACTGTATCTCAATGCATCACTAAAGCTTTGTGGCTTGTTGCTACACATCCATGAGCTCCTACCATCAAAAAGCCCTTTGCAGATTGAACACTAAACCAGGAAGATCTAGCTTCCTGTTCCTCCTCTGGCAGAGGCACAAGGAAGGGATCAGAAGTATCCACTTTCATTTGTTGCTTTGCCTGAAGTGGGAAATGCAGTTAGCATTGACCATGGTTTATCCAAACAATTTAGGATAAGAAACCACGGTTTTATCCTGGCCTGTTAGGACAAACCACAATGAAAACAAAGCACATTTAACCAGTCCTGGTTAGCTGAACATGAAGGTGGATGCCCCCGATATCCTTTTGGCTGTGATGGAGGATGAAAGGGCAGAAAGGAGTGCCCAAGCCTAAGGACTTGCTCATGTCACACTAAAGTATGGTTTAGTGCTAAATTCAACCTGCCCATGGCATTTGATCTGGGGCAGCTGTTTTATGGGAGCAATGTTTAATGCGAGCGGTGGGGTGAGCTCCCGTTGCTCGGTCCTTGCTCCTGCCAACCTAGCACGTCAAAGTACAAGTAGATAAATAGGTACCACTCCAGCGGGAAGGTAAACAGTGTTTATACATGTACATCGATGCTTGAATCCTGTTCAAGCATGGAGGGCTCTGTCCACTTGACCAGGAGCCCAATTCCCAAACATGTGTTTGGACCCTGCTGTGATTACACAGTTGTGCATTAAGTTGCTCCATCTACATGTTCAACTGGGGTATAGTGTGAGGCATGGAGAAGAGCATGTGTAGAAACTATGCTTTTTTCCTAGAAAAGTAGGTGCCATGAAGTTGCTACAGTAAGTGTCACACTTTTTAACAACAAAAAAGAGGTGCTGGTACTACATACCCTTGAGTACCCCTGGAAAAAAAGCACTGGTAGAAACTGACTTTTCCCACGGGTGGAATGTAGCCTATTGTACGAAAGCAAGAGGCATACTCATTGCTGTAGGTCACATTGATATTCTACATTAAAAACACATTTACAGTGCATGGTTTGCCCCCAGTATTAATGGGAAGTTTGGTTTGTTAAGGGGGCTGGGAACTGTGGCTCCATGTGGGGGGAACTACAGTTATCATTATAGTTTTTTGAGGGGGGATATGCTTTAAATGTATGGTGTGTGGATGTGTTCTGAAGTAATGGATGTGTCTCTTTTACCTGCTGACTTTGGGCCCTAGAAGTTCCCCATGAAATAATGCAACCCTCAGCCTGAAGAGGGTTCCACACCCCTTACCTTAAGTAATCACCCCCCTCACTGCCAACATACACTCCCACTTTTCCCTTCCTTGTTACCTATTTTCAAAAGCAAGAGTGGCGGGAACTGTGATGAGAGACAAAAGCGAGGGTTCCCCCCTCCCAAGCCTCAATCTCTCCCTCTCCTCCACCATTACCCAGCATTAGAAATGCTGGTACTGATGGATTCTAGGGTGGTAATTCCTCAAACAAACTACAAAACCCATAATCCAAAACCATGCCACATCATCCTCTTACTCTAGGCCAGGAATAGGCCAACTCGACCCTCCAGATGTTTTGGGACTACAACTCCCATCATCCTTGACCACCGGTGCTGTTAGCTAGGGATGGTGGGAGTTGTAGTCCCAAAACATCTGGAGGGTCAAATTGGCCTATGCCTACTATAGGCCAAGTAGAAGCTAACAATAAGTTATGCAGCCCTCCTTTTGATGCTTCCCCACCACTATTGATATCTCAATTGTAGCCTCCTCTGGGCAGGGATTTATCTGTTTTGCTGATGTTTCTTTGCAAAGCACCAAGCGTAAAGAGGACAATTCATAAATGATAAATAACCAATTATTCCTACGCTAGTCAAATAACATCCTCCATAACTCATCTGCCTGCATCTTTCATCTTCAGTTACAAATAGTTGTTTAGTTGCAAATCTCCACATTAGCAGATTTATGTTCTCACTTTCTTCCCCAGTGCTTTGCTGGTGAGAGAAGAGAGTGAGAGATCATTCTTTTGATAGGCTATGACATTGTCCACCTTGGCTGATTTCAAGGCAATGGCCAGTCACCCAAAAAGGAGCTGGGCAGCTCATTTGAAAAACAAATCATGTGGCCAAGAAGTGAAAGTCAAATGGAGCAAAAACTGGTATGGAACTGGTGAGAGGTGTGAAAAGACATCGAGGTTTACATAGTTTGGGCACTTGAGAGAGAAACCCACTGCCTTTTCTCAGATCAAGAGTTGGCCTTGTACATCGGGACTGGAGAACCTTTTTCAGCCTGGAGGCTGCATTCCTTTAGAACTCTTCACATGCCAGTGGTGGGCGTGGCCAGATACAAGAGTGGGTGGAGCCATGAGTGCAAATTTAAGTCATATCTAACCCTTGGTAGGAACAAGTTGCAGCAAGCTTCAGGTCTCTGTGCTCTTCTTGGAATAGATTCTGACATTAATCTTAACCATGGCTTGTTTGAAACAAGCCAAATTCAAACCATGGGTTGTGAAGTTGGCTTGTTTCAATGGACAGTAGTTAAGATTAACCACAGTTTAGGGCAGTGTTTCCCAACCGGTGTTCCGCGGCACACTAGTGTGCCGCGAGATGTTGCCTGGTGTGCCGCTCCGGCGGCTCCTCTGCGGCGGCGGCTACAGCGGCAACCTCGGGCGGCTCCTGAGGCGGCGAAGGCGGCCCAGCGGCCGGAGGCGAAGACGGTTGCGGCTGCTCCCGACGCTCACCAGCGGCCTCCTCTTCCTCGCCGCAGCTGCTTCGCGGCTTCTCCTCCTCCGCCTCCTCCTTCTCCTCGCCGCCGCCTTTTTCGGGCTCCGGCTCCTTCTTCCCCTCAGGCTCCTCCGCGGAAGGCCCGTCCGGCAGCTCGGCCTCCGAGTCGCCGCCGCTGCTGCCGCTGCCGCCTCTTTCTCCTCCGCTACCGCCGCCGGGCTCTCCTCCTCCTCCGGGCCCCTCGTCCTGGGCGGGCAGAGCGGCGGGGTCTCGGCGGCCGCCGGGGTCTCCTGCATGGGGGGCTACGCGGCCTTCCTGTTCGCCTCACACGCGCGGCGCACGAACAGGCAAGGCGGCGCGCTGGGCCGAAAAGGGGGAGGGAGGGGGCACAGAGCGCGCAGGGGAGGCGCCCTCTCGCTGGGCCATGTGCGCGAGAGCGGACCCGGCGGCGAGTCTCGCGAGAGGGGCAGGGACCAACTCGGCAGACGAGAGGGGGAAGGAACGGATTCCAAAACCGGTGTCTTGCCGCGTTGTATATGTTAATTTCCTATGTTAATGGGCTAGGACAGGGTTTGCGATCGGTTAACGCCCAGTTATGCTTTCCCCCTAGGAATTAGGCGTTTCGGTCTTGAGGTATGCTCGCTTCACACCCCACACCCCTCGAGGCCCCGCATTAAGCCCGCCCTTAGGTGGGGTAGGATGGACCGTCCCAGAGGGAGGACGGAGGTGAAAGTAGTGTCGTGAATAGCGGTATTGTCATCGCGTCCTTTTACTTACGTTATTATTGTCGAAATATATATGTACCGCCCCCTATTTTAAATTCTAGCCTATATTAATCGTAAGCTGTCACTGTGGAGGAGATAGTAGCAAAGGGGAATCAAGCACCCCTTCAAAAATGACCGAAATGGGTCGAACTGGCGAGTCGTCATCCTGCCAGGCGCGTGAGCTGTACTAAGTCTCCCCACAAAAAGGGGAACGGTCTGAGCATGTCAAATAAAGTTTCGTGCGTCCCTCCCGGCGTGACGCTGCGCGCTGACGTCACGGGGCTGTAATGGTGGTGTGCCTCGAGATTTTTTTCATCAAACAAGTGTGCCTTTGCCCAAAAAAGGTTGGGAAACACTGGTTTAGGGTTTCAGCTTCAGTCATGCACCACTGTACCTCGAGAAAGAGGGTGACCTGGGAAGAGTTACGACGGCCAAATACATTTGGCCCCTGGGCGTAAGTTTCCCCACCCCTGGTGTACATGGATGTACCTTCCGTCCATTGTCACAAGCACTCTTACCAAAATTAAACTGGCTGTTAGGCTTCTCACAGTTGATGATGTTGAAGCGATAGGGTGTAGCTGACTTCATGGCACTGACCTCAAAGTAGAACCACTGGTGATGCTGGCAGCTGTTGACATCAGGGTTGAGGATCAAGTCATACTCAAACCTGGATCACAAGCCACAAAAAGTGCAGCATTAAGAACCAAACAGCCAAGTGATGCATTCAGCATTATGGGGCTCTAAGAAGCAGAACGCATTAAGTGTTCACAAGCAAACCCAGCCAAGTCAATAGTTGAGGTATGCAATGTATCAAGGTGAGCCACTGAACTAGGACTGCAGTCAAGGAGGGGACCACCTTGGCTTGGATTCCTGGAAGATCTGCTCCACGCCTTGCTTGAGAGGGTGGGACTCTGAGTGCCTTGATCTTTGCTGGACCCCAAGCTATGACTTGTGGATTTCTTTGGGAACCTAACGGGGAGGCAAGATCTGTGAAGTGCTAATGCTGTCAGTGCCTCTGTCCTATGCTCAGGTTGTACATAAAACCTTATGTCATGAAGACACCATAGTCTTCACTGATCTTCATTGCAAGGAAACTAAACTCTGGATAAGCTTAGGCATTTTTCTCATCATTTGGAGATTTGGCTGCCAGCAAGAATATTTTGCTTTTCTCCTCCTATATTTTCTCCTGTGCTGCCAATTCTGGTGAACACACATAGCAGCAACAGTGTGCCAGTTAGCCAGTGCAAATTTTCATTTTCCCTCTCTTCTCAAAATATTGTTTGTTGATGGCGGCTTAATTGATGTAAACATAATAGGTCTCATTCATTTCCTTTCATATGCTTTAAAGTTAATTTTACAGATGAATAATATGCATGCATACATGAGTAATGTCTCTCTCTCTCTTTTCTTTTTTTGGCAATGTCTGTTCCTTTAAGCACAACTTGCTTTTTAAAAAAATAATCTTTATTTGTAATGTCAGTTTGCCACATGGAATGTAGAGCTATGTGATCAGTGTTCACCCAAGCTAATAACTTAATTTTCAACAAGTGAAAATAAAACACATGGCCTCCCCCCACCCCAACTCCTTAACAACAGGCATGGGTGCCAGTCTGCTTATTGCATGTGAAACCGAGAATTATTATGGATGTTCTTCATACCATATTTCTTTCACATTTCTCAGGGCAGTAGTGGCTGGTCCCAATTTGGATTGGTGCAATCGAAGGTAGGGAGGCCAACACTAGGTGGCGCCAAGTAAGGGCTCATCAACATTTATTCCCCATTGTCCTGCAATTCCTTCCGTTCAGTCCATGACTTCTAGGCACAGGTCTGAGACATTGTTTTGTTTTGTCCCACAGCTTGCCCTGGGGAAACCCGCTGTTTACCACTGAATCAGAACGAACGTCAATTTACAAAAAACCCGGATGGCATTTGCTCCAATTCAGCAGCATACAGCAGATTTTCCCAGGAAAAGCGGTGTGACGAAAGAAAACACCTCCCTGACCTGGGCCTAGAAGTCACAAAGCAAATGGAAATGTGGAGGAGTCCTAATTGTAGTTCTGCTCCCATCTTCCACGCTACAAGGGCAATGCTGAGAATAAGAAGGGGGAATCCTGGAGGATAAATCCTGGAGGACTGGCTTTAAAAAGAGAATTGCACAAATTCATGGAGGATAAGGCTATTGGTGGCTACCAGCCATGATGGCTATGTTCTGCATCCACAGTCAGGGGCAGTGGGCTCCCGAATACCATTTGCTAGAAACCACAGTAGCGGAGAGTGCTCTTGTGCTTGGGTGCTGCTTGGGGGTTTCTACAGGCGTCTGGTTTGCCACTGTGAGAACGGGATGCTGGAATCGATGCACCTGACCCAGCAACCTCTTCTTACATTTTTAAGCTGGTAACCAGTAGGACCTCCTGGGCTGGTTGTAAGAAGGCAGGCAAGTACAGTCTGGTTCAGGGCAGATTCAGATTGGTGGAGCAGCACCCCATGCACTCAAATAGACCAACTTCCATTGGGACATAGGTAGCCAATGTGGTGACTGTCAGTTTTTTCTAAACTACCACTCATATCATCCCTTCCCATTGTCCAAGTTAGCCAGGGCTGGTGAGTATTAGAACAACATATAAAGGGTTTGTTGTTGCTGCTGCTGCTACTACTGGCATCCATCTGTCTCGGGAGACAATGGAAAATGGCACCATTGGTGGTAAAGTCAAACCATCAGAGAGTTACAGTGCCTGCTGTGGCTGTAGAGACCTATACGGAGTAGACATGTTTTGTTGCACCTAGGGCAGGTGAAGGCATCCGATTGTGCTGCTGAAGATACTGTGTTGCATATCCCTATGTTATAGTAGCACCTATGTGGCAAACTCCTATCAGTTTCATAGTACAGTGGTACCTTGGTTTGCGAACTTAATCCGTTCTGGAAGTCCGTTCTTAAACCAAAGCATTCTTAAACTTCCCATAGCAGCGGGGGACTCAATTTACAAATGGAACACACTCAACAGGAAGCAAAACATGTTCTGCTTCCAAGGCAAAGTTCATAAACCAAAACACCTACTTCTGGGTTTGCACTGTTCTTAATCCAAGTTGTTCATAAACTAAGCTGTTCTTAAACCAAGGTACCATTGTACTTAACTGTTGCAGCATCAGCGTTGTCTATAGTAACTTGCAATGGCTCTCCTGGATTTCAAACAAGGGACTCTCCCAGTCCTACCTGGAGATGAATTTGGGACCTTCCATTCGTAATGTAGGTGCTCTACTACTGAGCCATGGCCCTTCCTCAGATAGTGGTGGTAACACCGGCCAGCAAGCTTGGTCCTCCTACCATACCTCCTACCTTCCAGCTCTACCTGGAGATGCTGAGAATGGAACCTGGGACCTTCTGCATGCAAAGCAGATGCTATACCATTGAGTTACAGCCCTTCCCCATGCAGAAGCATTGCAAGCACATACTGCTATCCCCATTCTTGCTTGTGGGGTTATTTCAGCTACTTACTCTCGTATTTGGATAGCCTTGCGTAGGTTTCCAGATTCAAATTTGGAGAAGAACTTCAGGCATTCTGGAGCATCCGAGCTCAAGGAGCTGAAACAAGATTTTCAACAGGATTATGGAAAGGCTTGATGGCTGAGGAGCAGCAGCTGCTACTCCAGTTCCCTATTAGGGAAATTAAAAGAGGGCAGCTGGGAGCAACAGAAATGCAGCTAGCTGATCATTGTTTGGATCCCCTGTAGGTAGATTAGCTTTTCATCCTCTTGCTTCTGTTTCAACACTGATGGAAGGAGAAGAGGCTCCATGAAACCACTGTAAAGCAAGTACATGATTGTCTGGGAAGTTTCAGCACTGATCGCTCTCCAAACTTCACAAAAAGCTGGCCTGTACCATATAAGACTATTTGACTATTGGTGGAACACTCTGTCACAAGAGACCAGGGCCCTGCGGGACTTGACATCTTTCCGCAGGGCCTGCAAGACAGAGCTGTTCCACCAGGCCTTTGGCCAGGGCACAGCCTGACTCACTCCCTCGGCAATCTTCGCAGAGCTCTGGCCCAATGGTTGCCAGTGGCTTGAATTAATTAATTTTATAATGAATGATTTTAGAGTGTTGTTTATGCTGTACTTTTGTACTGTTTTATTGTTGTTAGCCGCCCTGAGCCCGGCTTCGGCTGGGGAGGGCGGGATATAAATAAAAATTATTATTATTATTATTATTATTATTATTATTATTATTATTATTATTATTAACCAGTAGCGGCTCTTCACAGTCTCAAACAGGGCACGTTCACATCGATGGCAGCTGCCCCCTGGAGAGAAATTTTACACTTGGCTCTTGGCTGTAGGGATTATTTTACCCTTCTTTCAGTGATAAGTTGACTTTGTCAGACACTGGTCTTTTTCTCTGTCACAACTTGGGTGGAAATGGTATTGGCAGGATACGCAAACAACCTGAGGTGGCACACGAGCTCCCAGCCATTGCTTGGGTGAGGCCGTGCCTAACATCACTCACCTCAGGTTGTCAGCGGGGCCCCAGTCACATGGCCTGCACCACATTAGGCTCTCTCCGTTGGTCAACTCTTATGGACATACCTCAGCAAGTATTTTTCAAACAGAACATTGAAGTTCGAGATGGAAAACTAATCTGTGCCACAGTGCCATGCGAACCCCACTTATCTTGCTGTAATCCAGTGATGGCCAGACTTGGCCCTCCAGCTGTTTTGAGTCTACAATTCCCATCATCCCTGATCACTGATCCTGTTAGCTAGGGGTGATGGGAGTTCTAGTCCAAAAACAGCTGGAGGGCCAAGTTTGGCCATCACTGCTGTAATCAATAAAGTTATGGCCTGTTTTCACTCCTACACATCTTTTGGGCCACCTCCACACCATACCTTTAAAACACAATGATGCCACTTTAAATAGTCATGGCTTTCCCCCGATGAATTATGGGAGCTGTAGTTTGTTAAAGGTGCTGAGAGTTGTCAGGGGACCCATATTCTTCTCTCAACTATACAGTTCCCAGGGAATTAACTGTAAATTCCTCTTCACAGGGAAGCCTGGAAATTGTTCTACCACTGAGCTATGGCTCTTCCCCTTGTAACCAGTGGTTTTACCTACTGATGAATCCTGCTCCCCTGGGAAGCCTGCCTGGCGCCCACTTTGCAATAGCAAACAAATACTTTTTATCCCTTTTAAGCGGCTTTAACTTTTTGTACTGGCTGTTAGTCCTTTCTACCCTGTGATCTATTGTTTTACATAGGGGCTGTATTTGTATTTTGCTGTTGTAAGCTGCTTCGGGAATACTGATTAGTACTGAAAGGCAAGATATACATTTCAGAAGTTTCATTTCGGAGAGCAGCTACATCACTGTGAAGCTCATTCCCATGGAGATATGCCAAAGCTCAAGTCTGATTATAGTACAGACATTTGCGTATCTGCTAACTTCTCAGATTCTTTTCATTGGGCTGCTTTTTCAGCATGTGGGAGTCATAGTTTGTGGGGGAATGAATGTCAGTCCTGACCTCCTTTCACATTCCATCTGACGTCCATTAGACATTTCATTCTATATTGGATGTCTTATGCCTAAAAGCATTAGTAGAAAAGAGTCTGGAAATTTTAATAAATGCAATAGTTAGTTGCTTGCCCTTGCTCCAGCTCCCAATGACATCACCCTGATCTAGAAGACAGAAACTTACCTGGAGCTATCCAAGTCAAAGACAACTCGATTGAGTATATCAGCTGGCTGGATGACACGACGGATGTCATCAAATATTTTGGCCCTGTGATGAGAAGAACAAGGCTTAAACCGCTGAGGAAATTATGCACACAGAAGAAAATCTCTCCCCATTTTTAAAAATATCATTGTCTCTCTGCAGCTTCCACCCTCAATTCTTTAAAACAAGCAGAACTTCCACTAAAACATGTAAGTGTTCCAGTTCAGGACTTCAGCCAGCCAGCCAGCCATGTGCTCTTCCAGGAAACTCCATTACATTTCTTCTCCACCCCAGATTTCCATTCCTCCTCATCCCTTCAACAGACACTCAGCATTATCGGGCTACTGAGCATGCTCAGTTGTAATTGGAGAGACAGGTGGCCCCTTATAGTATGGTTTTCTAAACAGGTTTTGTTGTTGCTCTTCAGCAAATCTTGAGCTCAGTGGAGGCTGGACCATTAGGGCACTGCCCCACCAACCTTAGCCTGCCCTTGGCCAGCCATCACCTCCCTGCCTTCTTACTTACAGCCAGTCCAGGGGGATGGGCAGCTTCCTTTTCCTTAATCTCAACGTTGCCCTTGAAGAATTCAGCAGGAAAGAGGATGGGGGCAAAACTAGAGGAAGTTGGCTCTACCTATCATTGGCTCTGGCTCAGCCAATCATTGGCTCTGGCCCCACCTAATGATTGCGCTCCCTGCATTCTGCCCCATCAGCATCAATGGGCACCAGCCACCAATGCTTAAGGTACCCCCAAGGCATGCTGATAGGAGCCTCTTGTTTCTCCATGGTCACATTTTGACCATGTAACTGTTGGCACTCATTCCCCAAGTTGGCTGTTAGAGGGAGTGATGCCTGACATTGCTCCATCTTATCACACATGACACTTTGCTTGTCTGTGTGCATGTCTTTGTTCTGCCCTATCTTTATAACAGAAAGGGGGAGACTTACTTTTGGATGCCATATCTCCTCTGCTGAACAGACTGGCTATAAGGACATGGTTGGTGACCCCAGAAATCTGGGAATGCCAACACTCTGTAGTCTGGAATGGACTGTGTGGAGCCAGCCCTTGCCATGTAGAAGCGGGGGTTGTGAAAAGGGATATTCCCCGGATGTCTCTCCAAAAGCTTTCTCACAACCTCAGAAGCCTCCACTCTCTTTTGGCAACTGGGCCTGCAGGAGTTCATATGCTGAGGCTGAGAAGTTGTTCTGTTCCTCAATATGTCCTTGGGAAGAGTGTGCAGAGTGGTTGCACAGCCTTTGTCTGGGCTGTCGCCATCTCTGAAGAAACCCTCCAAAGGCTTGGACTCATCACAAGCCTCTTTCTCAAGTTCTTGAGACGGATTCTCTTTTTTCACCCAGCTCTGTACTGGAACTCCAGAAGCCCTTTGGGGCAGTTTTCCATCTTCAGTGATTTGGTCCTTTTCTCTGCATTCGAGCTGGTGCTTTGGGGGAGCAGCGTTTGGAATGACGTGGAGGCAGGAGCCCGTCAGGATCCCAGGAACATCCTCAGAGTTTAGCTCATCTTCAGACTCTGATTCCAACTCCTTTACAAGATGAAAAAAAAAGATAAAAGGCACTGACATGGCCTCTACCATACAGCAGCCTCTCAGATTTATTCAAAGATTGTAAACCCATCATCTCACCAGAAAGTTGCAGCAAAGTTCTGGACACATGGCCTCATATTGTTTGAGTTCTGATTCAGGCCGGTCAAGATCTGGTTTTGACATGAGCTTTTCAACATCTGTCTCTAAGTCATCATCCTGCAGAATAAGAGCCAGAAAGGTAATTGTGAAAGGCACCATTCATTTGCACCAGGGTTAGGGAACCTGTGGCTCTCCGAATTATGTTGGACTTTAGCTCCCATTATCCCAGGACATTATCTCTCTCCCTCCCTCCCACTCCACCCATCTCCATGGTGGTGCCTCATGTCAGGAATGGTTAATTCTTGGTTGAAGGATTGCTTGGACTCCCTAAACAATGTTCTCTCTCTCTCTCTCTCTCTCTCTCTCTCACACACACACACACACACACACACACACACACATCACACAAACCTCTCCCTTTTTGTCAATAGGGAGGTGGGTTTCAAGGCAGTGTACTTGGTGTTCCCCACCTTCCCAACAAACCTTGTATATGGGTTAAGCAGGGATGGATAGAAGCTGGCCCAAAGTCATCTGGTGAGCTTTATTTGTGGCTGGGTGGGAATTTGAACTCCGGTCTCCCATGTCCTAGTTGAACATTCCAACCACAACACTGGCTGCACCTGTTAAAGTTTCCTCTTCCCACATCTATTAAAGATGTAGGAGTCCTGGCTATTTTTGTTGTTTATTATTCGACGCATGGACGGTTGGCCTTAAACAGTGTCCAAAAGAATACATACTTCCTCCTTATTCTCCACATCCTCATTCTCTATGTCCTTCTCGATTTCTTCTTCAACATCATAATCACAGTCATCTGCAAGAAGATAAAAGAGAGTCACTGACGACACTAAGAGTCCCACTGATGACCAAACTACCCAAGAGGTTGAGCTCTTTCACATCCAAGGATAAACAACAGGAAGAATTTCACAGCAAATCAACGCCTCAGCTGTTTCCTAACATGTAGGAGTTATCTTTTTTTAAATGACCCTTTTAAGCAGGAGAGGGGAACCTGTAGCCCTCCAGATAGGTAAAGGTAAAGGGACCCCTGACCATTAGGTCCAGTCGTGGTCGACTCTGGGGTTGCGGCGCTCATCTCGCTTTATTGGCCGAGGGAGCCGGCGTACAGCTTCCGGGTCATGTGGCTGCATGACTAAGCCGCTTCTGGCGAACCAGAGCAGCGCACGGAAACGCCGTTTACCTTCCCGCCAGAGTGGTACCTATTTATCTACTTGCACTTTGACACGCTTTCAAACTGCTAGGTTGGCAGGAGCGCCCTCCAGATAGCTAGCTTTAAAAGAGGATTAGACTAATTCATGGATGATATGTCCACCAATGGCAACTAGCTATGATGGTTTATGTTCTGCCTCCGTAGCTGGAAGCACTAATGCTTCTGAAAACTGGTTGCTAGAAACCACAGCAAGGAAGAATGCTCCTGTGCTTGAGTCTTGAGGGTTTCCCACTGATGCAGCTGGCCAACCACTGTGAGAACAGGATGCTTGATTAGATGGTCCATTGGCCTGATCCAGCATGCTCTCCTTATGTTCTTAGATGTTCCTGGACCTCAGTTCCTATCACCTCTGGCCATTGGCCTTGCTGGCTGGGGCTGATTATAACTGGAGTCTAACAGCATCTGGGGGGCTGCAGGGGTCATAGGAAGCTTATTTATATGAAGTTGGACCATTGGTCCATCTAGCTCAGTACTGACTACACTGACTGGCAGTAGCTTTCCAGGACTTTTAGGAAGGAGTTTTCCCCAACCCTACCTGGAGATGCCAGAGATTGAACCTGGGACCTTCTGCATGTGAAGGAGATGCTCTACCGCTAAATGACAGCAATTCCCCAAAATGAAGCTTCTCATTTTAGTAAGGCTTGCACAACAGAACATCTGGCAGATTTTGCTTTAGCTCACTCCTTCTCTCTTTTTCATCCTACCCTTGCCAGCATCTCCTCCTTTTCCACTGTTACTCAACCCTAGCACATATGGTGATAACTTCAGTTCAATGGCAGCTGGGACCCCTTGGGACTGATGGAGCAGAGAGCAAGGAGCCCAGCAGTAGGTGGAGCCAGAGCGAATGACATGCAGAACCAACCCATTCTAGTTTTGTCCCCATCCTCCTTCCTGCTAAGTTCTACAAGGGCAACACTCAAACTGTTGGGGAGGAAACTGACAGACAGTGGCACCCCCTGGGCTGGTTGTAAGTTTAAAAAAAGCAGGTCAGTGGGAACTGACTGGGAACCAACAGAGGTTGGTGGAGCAGTCCCCCATTCATTCAGTCTTGATTCATTCCTTTCCCCTTCCCACTTAACACACTGCAGTAATTTACAGTACCTTCAGACTTTGGATGTGAAGGTCCAGTTGCCCCAGGGATGGGAAAGGAATAGGAGCTGCTGAGAGTAGCTGAAGGAAGTGGCGTCTTAGGGTAGGTTTTCCTCAGGATCTGAATCACCGTATTGACTATTGGATCCAGACTCTTGCTGCCCAAGTAGTCCTAGATACCAATGAAGAAACTTAGACAGTTCTTTCCCTGCTGCAATTATTCCTCAAGACGGGGATGAGGGCTCTCAAGCCAATGAATCAAATACCTTCGGACTTTTACAACTGAGCTTCAGAACTCCTCTGAGGTTACACGCCTTTCTAGTTTACACCCCTTATCCCCATGCAACATCCCTCAATGGCTGTGCTTTGTGTCCTCCTTTGGTGCTTTTGCCTGACTGGAATGTTTCCTTCAACTCTGATTATGCCTCTCGCTGGTCTGGAAGCTCAGACTTTTACCGTGTAGAGGTAAGAGTCACACTTTTTGCTCCGCCCACTTCTGCTTCTGGCCCCTCCCACCACTAGCATGCAACCCCACCCCTGGAAGGATGTTGATGAGCAAGTGCCACCCTCAGGCTGAAAAGAACTCCTCATTCCCTGCTCAATATTTTTATCCACAAGGATCTCAGCTATTCCTAGAGATTTTGCTGCACCATCCTAACAATGTTTATTCAAAAGGATAAGAAATGACAAAGACAGCTCTCTGTGGAAACATCTGAGTGGCAGGCGCAGCCCTGACTTCCCGTGTAGGGTTGTTCAAGAATTCTGATGGAAATGGGAACAGGAATTGCCGATTGTAGCTAATTCATCGCGTGCCCAGAACAGAAATCAATCCACCGAATACAATTGGTATTCGCTCTTGTTGCTGCTGCTCTCAGTCCAGAAATAATACTTAATTTATTAAGTTTCTTCCCCATTTGCATTGTGTTTCCTTTGTGTTGGAATGAATAGGATGGAATAACATAAAATAGAAAGGTAATTTACAAAATTAATTATGCAATTTATGTAATTTCCCCCACATTGGACGGTGAGATGAATAACGTAATTTTTGACAGAAGACAAACTGCAGCAGCATGCAGACAGTGCTCCATGCAAGTAATAAAAGCCAAAACAGGAAACAAGGCCTGTGTACATTCTTATTCCTGACCTGAACACTGATTCATGCATTGCTGCCAGATCTGGTGGGGAGGCAGGTGCTCCCATGAACCTATGAAATGTCCTTCTGGTTTAATCCAGCATCCTATTCTCATAGTGGCCCTTTTCTGCACTTTTCCCAGATCTACAATTTCCTTTCGCAGGGAGTGGAGGTGGTAGCCAGAACACTGCAATGTATTCCAAATATGCTCACACTATGGATGTGCATCAAGTCATTACACTCAACACAGGTGGAAGTTGTCTCAGCACATGTGCAAGAGTTTGCATGAAAGAGTGTACACTTGTCGATTTGTACAGCTTCACCATTGAATAGACATGTACACAGAATATACACTCGGTATGCAGATTGTACACTCGTTGCATGTAACATGTGAACATGCTTACTGACAAAATACCACCATCCGTAAACATCAGATACAGGGTTGGAGTCTACAGGAGGGTTTTTTGATTGTTAAATAGATTTTTTTATTCCATTTCCATTAGTAAAAACTGGCTCTGTTGTTGTTGAAACTGCATTGCTGTCATTATTATTGAACAACTGGATTGGTCAACTTGCTAAATTCAGTGATTACCTCTTTTAACTTCTAAAGCTGTTCAAATCCAGTAGACTGGTCATTAGCTGGCTTTGATCCCTAGAAACTGCATCTGGCTTTTCTTTTCAAAATAAATTATTAGTAAACAAAAATAAAGTAAAGGTAAAGAGCATAAACAAATGCAGGTTTAAAGCAGCATAAGGTTGCACATTATCATTGAACTTGTTCCAAAACACTGCTAAAATACCATTTTTTTCCATAAACCTTATAAACTGCTGCTAATATTATAATATCTAAAAAAATTGTGTGGGGGAACATATCTCTGACTGTATCTGAATGGATTGAGAAAATTTGGTCCATAGTAACTATGATTCAGCTAATTTATTATAAAAGAATTCAAACTGCAACTGGCATTCCATGCATTACCTAAGACTATTTTTCATAGAATCTGCCAGATTTGGTTCTGTGGATGTTTTTCTCTGAACTCAGCTGGAGAGGAGATTCTCTTACACAAATGAGTCAGCACAAGTTGCTTCTGCCCTCTGGGATGGAAGCAGAGCAAGTCCTCAGCATCAGGTAACGCAGTCAGGATGCAAGGATGTCTCTGATTCCACCCCATTATTCTCTTCTTTGATTTGCCCTGCACCCCATGATTCCTGAGTGCTAGGTGAATGTTGAGAATTAATTCTGGAATTGGAACATGGGCAGTCTGCATCTAGACATTACAGATGCACTTGTCTTCGTCTTCCTCTTCTTCTTCTTCTTTTTTGGCGATCACTCGTAGCCGAGTAAGATTGTCTTCCATAAACACGGTTTTAAAAGTGAGTCTGTAAGTGACTGTGGAAGCCAATTCTGGATCCACATGTCCTTCCACAGTGGGAGCATAGGTTTCCGTGTGGGAGTTGATCATGGTGAGGGTTTGCCAAGCATGCCTTCCTCTTAACGCTTTTCTCCCTTTCGTCACACTGACCAACACACAGTCTTTGCAGTTAGGCTCTATTCCGATGGCAAGAGTAATCACCGGTAGATTCTTATCTGCTGCAGCCTTCATCCACCTTCACAGCAGTTGTAACATACTGCTTGTTATCTTCCGCCTGTTCTGCTGTTGAGGACTTTTTGGATCATGCTTTGTCTAGCTCCTCGCCTTAGACCTAACAGCCTTGGGTAACACTGCTGGGAGTACAAGACTCCCAACAGCTTCACTCACAAGGGTCATAGGAACATGCAAGCCCACTCAGCACGACAAGGTGATGATCCAGCGAGTGAGAGATACACTTGTGCCCATTGACAAAACACATGTACAATATATGTAGAATTGTGTCAAATAAGTTTTGCAAGCACCACATCTCAATGGTAGAGTATCTGCTTTGCATGCAGAAGGCTCCAGGTTCAATCCCCAGCACCTCCATGTAGGGCTGGAAGAGACTCCCTGACTAAAAGCCAGTGCAAGCTAGTGTAGACAGTACTGAGATAAATGGACCAATGGTCTGAACTCAGTATAAGGGCAGAGTCCTATGTCCTCTGGCCATCCAATTGCTATTGAATTGTGCCATTGCATAGGCAGCTTCCTGTGTCCCTTCAGTGTTTTGCTGAAGTGCACATCCGCTCCTGCACATTGATATAAGCATCACAGACCAAAATGAATCTTGATGCAACCAGACACCCAAGCACCCTGGTTTTTAGTTTTGGCAGTGTTTTGTCAATGTTTGCAGATGCATGAGTAACAAAGAGCGAAGGGAGATGTGAAAGAGCTGAAAGCTGCCTGTAAAGTGCTCTGAACAAAATCCAGAAATTGAAAGGGGGCGAAATCCAGTGGAAATGGCAACTAATTGTTGCAGCATGGAATGGTGCTGTTCAGGATTTCAGCAACTCCATTCCGTTGCCAACTCCACATTTTCCATTTTGTCCGCAACAGGTTGTTGGCATTCCATGTCTACTGAGGCTGTTCAGTCCTCATCCAGCTGTTTTGAAGGTGTATGGTTTATTGGAGGAAGAGGGCTGCCCTAATCCCCCTAACACTTCCCTCTTGTGTGTGTGGTTGGTGCCTATTTGGCGACATTAAATAATAATAAAAATGAGACTCTTAGCTTGAACCTCAGAAGTAGAAGGACTGAGAGAACAATGGAGATTCCCCAGCATGTTGGCTTCCTTTCAGGAACAAGACTGCTTAATTCAGAAACCGCAAAAGGTTGGGAGGAAATTCACAGGAAGAGAACCTTGGACAAATCCTTACTGCTTTGGTTGTCAGCTAAGCACAAGCCTCTGCAATTCTCTCCTTACAAATTAAAAAAAAACCACCAACCTTTCCCTGCCTGCTAAATGACCGCTGTCTTGGTGGCGAGGGCAGAATTCTTAACCATTTCAGATGTGTAGTGCTCCATAATCTTGGAGGCATTGCTGGTACAGCTCAAATACCCAAAAGAAAAACCCGCCTCCAGAGAGGGAGAAGCAGAATGGCAAAGCGATCATATATCTTTGCTGCTAAGCTGCATGATGCCCATCTACATAAGAATGTGATTGGTTTTTCATCCCTGATGATTTGAGGGAAAGCCTTCCAATTCCCCCATAACAGAAGCAAAGCACGAAGTTCAGTATTGCTGTGCAGAATAGGCGCGTGTGTTTGTTAAGACACGCAGCCTGCAACAAAATGTTGCAGTGTGTGCTCACCGTCCTAGCAGGAATTGCCCCATCCTCCAAGATACTATCCGTTCTTAAGAGCTTTAGGGAGGGCTGTGGCTCAATGGTAGAGAACCTGCTTCGCATACAGAAAAAGGTCTCAGGTTCAATCATCAGCATCTCAAGGTAGGGCTGGGAGAGACTCTCCATCTGAAACCCTGGAAAGTCACTGCCAGTCAGTGCAGACAATACTGAGTGAAATGGATCGTTGGTCTGATCCACTGTAAGGCAGCTTTCTATTATTATGTATGTTTCTATTGTTGTAGATCTAGAGTTAGCAAATGTTAGAAATTAGTAAAATGGTAGAATTTGGATAATATTTGGAGTATTGATGGGAAGATTCTGGGCCAGTGGGAAAAATAAAGGCAAAGCTTCATTTCCAGCTCAGGGTCTCACCTAGGATAGAGACCATTTTTATTATTATTATTATTATTATTATTATTATTATTATTATTATTATTATTATTATTATACTGCCCTATACCTGGAGGTCTCAGGGCAGTTCACAGAACAAAATCCAAATATAAAACCACATAATCAAAATAAAAACAACAACCCAATAACGCCCCCCTCCCAAAAGAACCTAAACGAACTACCAGTTTCTGGTGCCCAAAAACCAGATCACTCCTTTTGTTCCACCCTGCCAGTCTTGGGGAGAAACAAACCACAAAGCTTGACTCAGTACAGTCAAACTTCGGGTGTTGAATGTAATCCATTCTGGAAGACTGTTCGACTTCCGAAACATTTGACAACCGAAGCGTGGCTTCCAATTCTTTGCAAGAGCTTCCTGCACTCAAGTGGAAGCTATGTCGGACGCTCAGGTTCCGAAAAACGTTCAAAAACCAGAGCATTTAATTCCAGGTTTTTGTCATTCGGAAGCCAAAACATTCGAAAACCTTCGCTCTTTTGGGGGGGGGCGGTTAGAGATCGCTCAGGGTCCGAAGACTGAGCAGAATCGACCACAAACACCACTCTTTGGGGGGGGCGGTTAGAGATCGCTCAGGGTCCAAAGGATTGACCAGAATTGACCACAAACACGATTGACCAGTAGACCGCGATCGACCTGTTGGGCATGCCTGTTCTACAACATCAGCGGGGGGGGGGATATTTCAGCCTGCGGGCCACATTTCTCTCAATGCAACCTCCTGAGGATCACATGTTAGTGTTGGGTGGAGCCAGAATCAAAAGTGGGCAGAGCAACTGTAAATTTTACCTTTCTGCCATAGACGAGTTTCTACATTCACACCCACACACCCCTCTCCGTCTTCCATACAAGCAAGCAAGAGACATCAACAGAATTCAAGGACAAGCACTTGGGAGACAATGCTGGGCAAATGAGAGGTGTGGTCTGGGGAGAGTTCAAAAAGCCCCCTTTCATCCCCTGGGGCCTGAGGTTCTCCTACTCCCACTTTAGAGGAAATCAACCTTCAAATGCAAACCCAACCGGTGCCAGGGCTTCTGCAACGAATCTTTGATCACCTGGGTTGTTTGAAAGAGAGTCTCCATGCCACGTGCGAGGAGGAACGCTTCTCTGCCAGACCGAACATTGGTGATGTGCTTGAGGCAAAGCAGGAGACCCCTCCGGATGTGGACATAACTGTTGGAAGTATCGTGGTGATGCCAGTCCTGGTACAGCCGGAGCAGTTTATGAATATAGCCTCTGTTCACGGCTCGGCGGCTATTCGACTCTGAAAGCAGAGGACAACAGGTGACTTAGCAGCTGCTGGGAAAGTGCGCAAATGAGGACACAGCTATCATTTACACAAATGCATGCATTTTGTTCCATCCGACATGCTGTTTCTCAGGGCTATTAATATTTGCAGGTGTAAAAGCGAGTCTACCAGGAGATTTCTATTTTCCACTGACAATGCATGACCCAAATCAAAATCTGTCTGGTTCCATGCAGACTTCCCTCCCTCATTGTCTTTGTAGTTGTACACTCTAAGCTGAGCTATAACTATAAGCACTCGTCTTTTTCCCCTTGGGAAAATGCATCATAGATTTTGTAGCTGTAAAGATGCATAAATTTTGTTAGGTGCCATGTATTTTTTAACTCCAGTGTTTAAATGTCCACTGTATCTTTGCAAAGAAGGAGGATGTGGAGCAAAGCAGAACTGGCCACACCTTTGTCGCCTTATTGTTCACACCCCCATGATTTCCTGGTCCAGTAGGCACCATTCATCACTGCTGATACAGTAGATGAAAGTTAAACTTATTATACTGCAAGACTGTGCAATGCTTGGTGATAACTTCTGGATGAGAGAGCAATGGTTCTGACAGATGCAAGGCTGATTTTGCTTAAACCAACCCTAATGAAATTATCCATTTCATAAATCTCAAGCAAAGCCCTAACCGACAGCATATCACACAGCCCATGTGTCCCCATATCATTCAGTGAGATTGTATCTGACTCTGGGAATATGTGCTCCCATTGTAAGGGTCTTTTTTTTAATAAAACAAAGGTCAGACTCATCAAAAGCTGTCAGAAGTATGGTAATCAAAGAGACCATTGAGCACACCTTCTTGAATCACAATCATAGGGGCTACGATCATTCAGACTGTCTGGTTTGCGGCTTAAGTGTTTTCAAGTCTACTAAGGCACCAATCCTTTGTGACATTATCAAATTGGCCCACAGATACCAATGAAGCCATAAACAAGTGAAAGGACAAGGTTAACACCAGCTCCATTTGTCAGACCAGTCCCAGCTTCAGAGATAACCATCAGCGTGTGTGACATGAATATCTGTGCTAGAAGCAGAGCCTTTCCAACCATCACCCCAAAGCTGTGGAATGAGAAATTTTTCCTCCTTGCTTTTGTTGAAAGAAGAGATCATGGACCTTCCTTTTTTTCCACCTGGTTCTCTCAGTAGGTTGTTGCAGGGACCAGCGAAGGCCTCTTATATACCTGCTCAGGTTGTCCTCTTATATACCTGCTGGGATTGACAAGGCATCTGACCCTCACCTGAATCTCATAACTCTCCGGACAGGTGATTTGGTCTGCAGCCATAGTGTGGAAATAAAGGAAGAGATTGCCCACCAGATACCAGGCACTCTACTATTTAAAATAGGCCCCAGTGTTTTTGTTACAATCCGCTTCTCAATTAAGTACTCAATTTTAATCTAGAATTTAAATTCTCAAAACTTTCTTATTTGTTAATTCGAGCAAGTAAACTACTGCTCTCACTTCATTACAAACAGTATTTCTACCTGCAACACACTTGAGCAAACCCGCTTCTCTTCCTTTCACAGATATTTTGTTGCCATTTGCAACTGTATCTGGCTCTAATTAGTTATCATTTAACTCTTTGGGGAAATAATTAGCATTACACATCATGTGCATGGAAGTTGCCGAACCAATTAACCAACAAGAAGGATTACTGTTACTAGCACCAGTTTTCCTCTAACTTAATATTGCTGTTACAGATAGGTAGCCGTGTTGGTCTGCCATAGTCAAAACAAAAAAAATTCCTTCCAGTAGCACCTTAAAGACCAACTAAGTTAGTTCTTGGTATGAGCTTTCGTGTGCATGCACACTTCTTCAAGTGTGTGAAGAAGTGTGCATGCACACGAAAGCTCATACCAAGAACTAACTTAGTTGGTCTTTAAGGTGCTACTGGAAGGAATTTTTTTTGTTTTAATATTGCTGGATACTTTTGATGAACTGCAAAAGCATTTTTAGTTTGCTTTCTGTTGCCATCCTGAAACTTTTCTTTATTAGTGCCACTTTGTTTTGTACGATTCCTTGCAAATGAAGGAAAACAACTTTTCTGCTTGTACATGTTGATAATATAATTTTGGTTACTGAGAACAAACAAGATTGTACAAAAACAAGATTGGGCACAGGCCTGGCCAGGACATAGGTGTCTTGACTGTGACAAAAGTGACCTGAGTGTTTGCTTGATTAACAGATGTTGGGAACTTCAAGGTCCCTGCTTTCCCTTCATATTGCCTTTGTACTGGACCTGGAGACTCCAATAGAGAGCATTCCATGTCAAGAAGGAGGGCAAGTGGGCATCCTATCAAGTGACAGAGCAGGAGCTACACAGAGCAGGGCCTTTTCACTGGTGGTGCCCATTGTATGCCTTGCTCTTCCCAGACCTGCTCTCTTTTGGCCTGTATTTTGGAGCTTTATAATTTAGGAAGACTTTGGAAGAACTGGTTGACAAGTCTTATTAGTTGCTGAAGTATGAGCGGATTTTATTTGCTGCTATTCTGTGCTTCTGCTGCACCAGGGTTTACACCAGCGTAATAGAGTTGGCCAGGCTGCCAGAAGGGATATAATTTATGAGCTTTCTCCATTATCTGCAAAGCAGGGGGTGTTTAGACAACAGTGCAAAGGCTGGGCTGAAGCGGTCCCTGCTGGTTACCTGCTTTCAGCAATAGGGGTCGCTGTTTGGTAATACCCAATTGGTTAGCTGTCAGATTCTAGAGCTCCCTATTGGTGGCTCTTAGGTAATTCACAAAATACAGAGTCCATTCATAAAACAGTGTTCATTCATAAAGCAGTAACATAAATTTCTATTGCTACATATTGGGTGTATATTTCAGCAGCTGAACGTACAAGTTTATGGCCATGCTGTAGTGTAGTGCTTATGTGACTGTGAATAAAAGGTGGCTGGGCTCATTGTTTCAGGGTTTGGGGTGGGGGAGCGGTGACAAAACTGATTTCCAATAAGTGGCCCCCCTTTATTTCCATAACTAGTCCTTGGGTCCGTATTCTAAATAGTGACACTAGGGACTTAGAAGGTGCAGGGCTTGTCAGTCCAAACCCTGCACAGTTCCATCAGGGCTGACCTTAAGGTAATTGGAGCAATTGGGCGAAATTGGGCCCCGCGTGCCACTCCTAAGGGGGCCCTGCACTAGGGCAATCTTGATGGATTTTATTTATATTTATAAGATTTTGCAGACTTTGGCTGTGAACTGGGGCCCTGGGGGGGATTCAAGTTCTGCCCCACTGCTTCAAATTGGGCCCTACTGGCTAGCCCTGAGTCTCATAGTTGCTGGGCCTTAGTTGCCCTGCCCTTGCATGAAGTCTTGGGTTTACAATTTTGGGAGAGGGGAGACTGCAGCACTGGAGAGAGGGCAGGCTGGTGAGGCCCCCTAGATTTAGAAGCCCTAGGCTTCAGCCTACATAGCCTATACATAAATCCGGCACTGTGGGAAGGACCTCATAATCCCTGGAGAGGCAGTGCTAGTCAGTGTGGACCATGGGTAGGCAAACTAAGGCCCGGGGGAAGGATCCGGCCCAATCGCCTTCTAAATCCGGCCCGTGGATAGTCAGCGTGTTTTTACATGCATAGAATGTGTGCTTTTATTTAAAATGCATCTCTGGGTTATTTGTGGGGCATAGGATATCATTCATTTCTTATTTATTTTTTTCAAAATATAGTCCGGTCCCCCACAAGGTCTGAGGGACAATGGACCAGTCCCCTGCTGAAAAAGTTTGCTGACCCCTGGTGTGGACAATACTGAGTTGACTCAGTATAAGACAACTTCCTATCTTTCCTATAAGTTCCACAATGTTTTGACTTGTTTTTCTTGCACATAAAGAGTTATCTGACTCAAAACACACTGGATGATTTGTGGATGACTTTTCTTTAAGATCTTTCTTCTGCCACGTTAGGAACAGTCATTTTCTGCTTTGGGGAACATTTTGGGACTATAATTGCCGGTCTCTTTAAATTGCTCATTGTCGCTGTTGTTGTTTTTTCTCAGAAAGAAGCAGAGCAATCCGCTTTCCAGGGGCCCCTCCTCTTTTTTTCCCTCTCTTTTTTTTTGCTTCCCATAACCACCAAGCAAATGCCTGCAAGATCCGCTTCAGCTCGCTAATTTCCTTTAAAAGATGCACAAGTTTCTAATGCTGGTGAATGCTGATAGTCGGCAGTGACAAATATGACCAACATTAGATTAAAATAACTGGCTGATAAACAAATTACTCACTAAAAATAAATATTGGATTAAGGGCTTTGGAGGGTAGCATAGTTATGGTAAGAGTGCCACCATGTGGAGCCAGGAGAATATCGTTTGGAAGGAAAGAGATTGTGGTGGGGGAGGGGAGGCAAGCAGTGACAGCTCAAATTGAACCCTACAGTCTTTGAATTAATGCACCAGTTATTTAAATTGCAATGTTCAGAGCGTGTGTTGTGAGTGTGTGCTTATTTATTTTTAGAGTGACATTTGGCATGTATGTGTTTGTGCACACGTGATCCTATGCACATTAACTTGGAAGTAAGCCCACTGAGTTTAATGGCATTTACTCCCTAGCAAGTGTTCGTAGGATTGCAGCCCTGTTTATTTCATGCATTCCCTATTTCCCTAGTGGGTTAAAGCTCCCAAGGCAAACTGCAATATACAAAGGGAGGCAGCCAAGTAACACGTCGTGTCAGTGCAAGGATTGACGCTTGCACGGCAGAACTTCCCCTCTTCTCCTCCCACCATGTGCCCCTTGAATCTGTTCTAGAGGCAGATTTGTGAAAGATATGGGGCACAGAGGGAGGAGAGGGAGGAGGTCTATTGTGCAAGCCTAAATCCACCCACAGATGGGACTCTCTGGTTGGATATACTGCCCACATAGTGCAAAACCCCTAACTTTTGTAACAGAAGTAATAGCTCCCAGTTAAGTGTCGGAGGGTTCTTAGGTTGCTCTGCTGTTTTCATAACACTCGGGGTCACTCCTGTCATTAGGCAG